ATTTTAATGGAGAATGTGTGGTTAAAAAATATGATTTTTTGGGTTTGCGTGTAATATTATTTTATTGAAAAATGTGTGGTCGAAAATAAAAGAGAGAAATGTATTTTAAAAATAATGGGTACCAGACTAGGTATATAATAATTGAGTGAAATGCAATTAAAACTCATGCGTCGTAGAAGAATAATTTCTTGTGAAATTATTTAAGAAGAGGTTTTTATAGTTTCTCGTTCTTCCTATATAGTTGTCTCTACGGGCGACTTAAACAATTTAGGGATTTTAAGCGAAAAAACAATTAGGAGACCTTTTCAAAAGCAATAGCGATTGTTTGTAAATGAAACTTACTACAATGGACAAAAACTCCGGTGGTAATCTTGAATTACAATTTCCAATCGATATTTTGATACCAATGCACTTTACTTTGGCAATCGGCTCACGATGGATCACTTGCTTAAAGGCTGAGCCGATCTTGGTTGTGTCTAACGATATTTTCTATTTTCATCGTATCATTGATTATTAATCGTAATTCTAACTTTCATTTAATATATTATTTAGTACAGCATCTTTGAAAAATTCAAAAAGAACTCAGAGATGTTATGCTAGGCTATACATAATTAAGAAAAATGATTTTATTTTTTATTTTTCATTAGTAGCCACTTGTCATAGCTTTAAAGGTTTATACGTCTTATTTTTAGGTAGTTAACAGTCTAAATTTAACCAAATTGTAATTAGTGTCACATATTTTAAATTGTTTCTTTCTCCCAAAGGTAATTGTATATATGATATAAAATAATGCAAGGTCTTAGTCTCCTATAAATGCTAAAATTGCACTTTTATTGAAGCCCGCATGCAAACGCATTAAATTTAATAAAATAAGATTAATTAGAAAACAGTTTATAATGGCACTCAAAAGTTGACCTTCTATGTTAGGCGATGAGAGCTCCAGCAGCGACGACGAGCAATGGCTACTGTTATTGACCCGGCTCGGCCAGCAAACAACGAATATTTACAGTTGACATCCAAATTAGAGGCTTCTAATTGGTGGAGCCAATTAGAGTCTGATTTTTACCATTATTTTTCAAGTTTCGTCATCACCTTAGTTGAATTTTTTCCCTTCTAGAATACTTCCAAATCGGGCAAAAGAGAACCTCTCGTTTGCCAGTGAGAGGAGCCTCACATGTGAGTCTAATATATGGAAAATGTCAATTCGCCTCTCACTATAAAATGAAATGTGAATAATTCGC